GATGTTGAACACTGTCTGCATTCTGGACAGATGTGTTCAGAGACCCCACCACCTCAGATAGTCACCCACCCCAATCGAACTCGCTCCCAATCTCGACCATTCGTCGCTCACACACAAGAGTGTTGCTCACATCCCATTGAATGAACGCAGTGATGATGAGAAACATAGATGAAATACCACCGAAGTGACCAAACACATAGACATTTTTGCCTATCCATCACAGGGGACAAGGCTCACCAGATGCCGCCGGCGACTTTGATGTGATGGGCCTTAGCCTTTCTGTGCCACTGTGTGAACCGCAGCTTGGGTGCATGAAAGCTGGGATGGTTACTGGTGGTTTAACAAGGGTATATTAAGATATGGACCTGGGCATGCAAGAGGACGTTTAGTGGGTTAATGTTTGGTCCTCGTCAAACCTCCACTGTTCTCCATGGGCCACCACATTATATGGGGGGGGGCAGATGGCAGTCCAGTTGCAGCCACACAGAGGCCTGCCACGGTTGTGAAAATAGATCTTGATTGAGGACCTTTCCCATTGGACTCTGAGAGAGAGAGAGAGAGAGAGGGAGAGAGAGAGAGAGAGAGAGAGAGAGAGAGAGAGAGAGAGAGAGAGAGAGAGAGAAAGTCATGGGACGCCCATTGGACTGTGATCTAGGTGGAAGACCTTCCAGTTACTCCACATTTGAGGTTCAGCAGCTCTAGGGTCAGGCAAACAATAGGTTTGACAAAGTAGGCTCAGGAGCACGCAGTGGTTTAAGAACTTTAAGTGCAGTAACCCCTGCCTGTCATACAAGGCAAGGGCAAGGTGGCCAGAAGAAAGCAGCTGTGGCATTGAGGCAAATGGTTTAGGTACGATGTTAGTAGCTGGAAGGTGGTAGGGAGCAGCTCAGCTATCAGAAGGTGTTTGGTCTCTCCTCTGTGAGGTCTAGGATGTAGTGGATCTGTATGGGACATAGTGTAGTGTTATGATCCTGGCCAATTTTGAAGTACACATTCATCACGAAGTACGATGCCGTCCACTTGCAAAAAGAAATGAATAAACTTGAGAGGAGAGAGAGGGAAAGAAGAAGAAGAAGAAGAAGAAAGAAAGAAAGAAGAAGAGGATGGTGTACAGCAACATAGACCAATGATAATGCTCTTCTTCTTCGCCAACCACTCTCCTCCTCCTTATCTCCTCCTCTGTTATTCAAACAAGAATAATAATCACCATGTTGAATGGCTGATCCAGAATCAATATCCGAGTCCCTCTTCTACTGCAGGTATCACTTGAGGTCCACCATGGCCATGGCCGCCCCTCTCTCTCTCTTCCTCATAGGCCGAGGCTATGGCGGACTACCAGGGCATCGCCCTGCTGTCCAAAGGACAACACAGAGCAGCTATGGCTGCTGTAGCTCAGGCCGCCATGCCTTACTCTGCCTCGAAGCTTCTTGGTGTAGCTCTGACCCAACTGGGCCTTCCTGCTGCAGCGCCCACCAAGTTGATGAAGATGGCCACCAGTATAGCCAGGTAAGTACCTCTGGCGCTCCCCTTCCTAGTCCTGGTCTTCTTCCTCCTCTGTGTCCTTGCTCCTTCCCCAGGTGGAAGAGATAATCAGTGACCACAAAAGAGTAGCCCAAATATTGCCCACTCCTTCTGCAGGCTTCCCCTCGCCTCCACGTCATCAATCAATATACAGTAACAAGTCTGACCAGTCCTGATCACACAGAAATACCACGTGGCACTTTCATCTCATGGAGACAATGAAGACAAACAGCAGTGCACGGTATCGACGTCAACCTCAGGTGAGTACCACTTCGCAATCATCCACAGCTCCCGATCTCCCTCCTTGTCGCAACCAGTCACCTCATGTAGACAGAATGGCCAGTGCCACGTCAGCAGTAGAGACAGGTGGCATGCGCCACATCAATGAAGACAGATGGCCTGTGCCACATCAGCACTGTAGACAGGTGGCATGCGGCACATCAGCAATGAAGACAGATGGCCAGTGCCACATCAGCAATGTAGACAGGTGGCCTGCGTCACATCAGCAATGTAGGCAGATGGCCTGCGCCACATCAGCAATGTAGACAGATGGACTGCGCCACATCAGCAGAGGCTGGCGCTCAGCAGAGAAGGCGCCAGCATGCTGCCACAGTCCCACGCCGTCGTCCACAGAACCAGCGCACAGCCAGCGTCAAGCCAATGTCCAGCCAGCGTCCAGCCAGAGTTGAGCCAGCGTCCAGCTAGAGTCAAGCCAGCGTCGAGGCAGCATAGCAAGACTGAATATCGAACTCCTTGAGACCAAGCCTTATGTAGTGTTTGACGAGCTTGTCTGGCCTTAGGTCTCCCCATAGTCGTACAGATTGACTCACAGCCGAGGGCCTGAATTGTATACAGTTGCAGACTTCCCCTTGGTCCTGATGCTGTCTGGGTACCTGCATACGAGTGTGTGCGTCTGACCGGCGGCCTGCGATGGGTCCACTTTGACTTCGACTGTTGGGCGTCAGGCAGTTGACTTCGGTCAACTGTCGCCCGCTCAGGCCCTGAATTTACTTAGTGTTACGATCCTGGTCATTCCCAAAGTGCAAATTCACAATGAAAGACAATGCCACCCAATTGCGAAAGAAATGAAAGCACTTGCAAAGAGATAGAGACCAGAGGAGAGGGAAAGAAGAAGAAGAAGAAGAAGAAGAAGAAAAAGATGTACACCAGCAAGACCAATGACAAATCCCCCCTTCTCTCTCCACTTTCCTCCTCCTCCTTAACCTCTCCAATCTTATTCTTCTTCCCAATAATAATAATAACAATGAGTGGATGAACCAGAATCAATATCCGAAGTTCCCTCTTATTGCTGACTCAGCAACAACAACCTGTGTGTCCGATTTTGAATTCAACGCGGGTTCCGCGTTGAAAAAATGAACGCGCGTTGAATTCGCGTTAAACTGCCGTTCAAACGCGAGTTGGACGCGAATTAACGGGGTCCAGGATGATTTTTTTCCTGGGCTAGAACTTATCCAAAAATAAAAAATTAAAAAAATGGGGTTGTAGTTTTTTCTTAGGACTACAACCCTGTATTTTTATTTTTATTTTTTCATGCTTAAATCTATTTTTTGAAAAATCAAAAACATAAACACACAATGAAAAAACAAAAACTAAAATGAAATGAGTGTTTTTGTTTTGGGTTTCACACAGATTTTTTAAGGGCTAAAAAAAAAAAAAAAAAAAAAATCAAAAATATAGGGTTGTAGATCTTTCAAAGATGTACAAC